GGTCAATCGTGTGCAGACAAGTTGCGCGTGGTGCTTAGAAGAGCTGTTAAGCCGTCAGCCTATGCACCCATCTCTCTTCTGTTTTTATTTTTTCATGACAACGAGCTCAGGAGCGTGAGGGAGGAGGGGGTGTGACCTATTTAGTAGAAGTTTACTATCACTATAAATCAGTTCTGAGTCATTTCACGAGGCACGGTGAGGCCTATGGCGTACTGAGGATCGACAACGACCGTTAAACAGTTGCCTACGTCTGCTCTGTAGCACCCTTAATGAGATATAAAGTTATTCATGCGCACATCGCCGTCCCTACGCCTACATTGGTGCGGGGCAGACGATAGAAATTGTCGGTAACAACAGCCGTGTTTTTTTCAGACTTCCGACACAAAAGTTGAAGGACGTTCGCACAGCCCACCATCGAGTACCGCGAATCCGTTTGAGTCGGTTTCCAAGGACACTACCATGGAATCGTAATACCCCATCTGAAAATTTTCATGAGGTTCCTTTAATAATTTTAAGTAAAGCTGAGTTCCCACAGTAATAGTAATCACCTGCTCTGACTTTTTGACTCAAAAACATAATCAAAAGATGGGTATCGTCAAACTAAATGATTTAACTTTGGTTCACGGTCGGCATGTTACAGTGCGTCTCCGAGATTCCCTGTATTTTATAAGGTAGTCAGCGTGCCAAGCAGTCCTCCACGCTGTGGCGCACGGTCGTTGTTGTTGCTTGAATGTTTATGCATCAGACGCAAGAGTATGTATAACTCACAGGATTGATTTGCCGGCCAGAGGCATGTTCGAGTAAAGAGAGAAAGAGTAACTCTTAAAAAGCCACCTTCCAGTCAGTCTTTTTTTCGCTGGTCCATGTTTGCCAACGGGTTATCCACTCTTAAACTTAGTGCTGAAGGAAAAAAATCTAGACAGTGCAAAAGTTCGCCTGATGTTCCAAATTATTGATATTCAGTAAAAAAAGCAAAAGCTAGCAAGTCAGGAAGGATGTGAAGCCACAATATATACTTTAGAAAAGAAGAAAATCATTGACTATATCTACAAGCAGATTAGAGAACAAGAATAGGCACCTGGAATGATGTCCAAATCACAATGATCATGCTCAAAATTATTTCGAGAACGTTGTTGATAGTCGGGTATTTCAAACTTTGTTTTTTTTGTCTGGGAAGCAAAGTCCGATTAGGTAGTTGAATAGATGCACTCCAGTCACGGCAAGTTTAAAGAAGCCATTCAAAGGCAACACGGATGTGCAAATAGACACTCTTTTCTATAGGCTGAGTCCAAATTGTTGGGCCGCCTTTTCGCTCACCATCCTTGCAATTGCTATCGATGACGTCGCCCCTGGCGAAGGTGCGTTTCGAACGTGCAAAACAAGAGACCCGGTAGCTCCAGTCCCAGAATCGAAGCTGAAGTCGTCCACCAATTTCCCCTGCCAATCCAAAGCC